TACTTCTGCCTCATTGACTATGCTAAAGGCTTTGACTGTGTGAATCTTAACAGACTGTGGAAAACTGTTAAAAGATGAGATTATCAGACCACCTTATTTGTCTCCTGAGAAACTTGTATATGGGTCAAGAAGCAAGAGTTGGAACTGAACATGGAACAACAGACTGGTTCAAAACTGGAAACGGAGATGACAAGGCTGCATATTGCCACATTGCTTATTTAACTAATATGCAGAGTACCTCATGAGAAATGCCAGGCTGGATGATCACAAACTGGATCCAAGATTGCCAGGAGAAATATCAACAACCTCAGCTATGCAAATGATATCAATCTAATGTCAGAAAGTGAAGAGAAACTAAAGAGCCTCTTGATGATGGTGAAAGAGGAGAGTGAAAAAGCTGGCTTAAACTCCACATTCAAAAAACTAGTATCATGGCATTCAGTCCCATTACTTCATGGGAAGTAGAAAGGGAAAAATTGCAAACACTGACAGTTTTCTTTTCTTGGGCTCCAAAATCATGGCAGACAGTGACTGAAGCCATGAAATTAAAAGACACTTGCTCCTTGGAAGAAAAGCTATGACAAACCTAGACAGAGTACTCAAAATCAGAGATATCACATTGCCAACAAAGGTCAGTCTAGTAGCTGTGCTTTTTCCAGTAGCCATGTACGGATATGAGAGTTGGACCATAAAGATGTCTGAGCATTGAAGAACTGATGCTTTCAAATTGTGGTGTTGGAGAAGACTCTTGAGAGTCCCTTGGACAGCAAGATCAAACCAGTTAATCCTAGAAGAAATCAACCCTGAATATGCATTGGAAAGACTGATGCTGATGCTGAAGCTCCAATACTTTGGCCACCCGATGAGAAGAACTGATTCACTGGAAAAGACCCTGATGCTGGGAAAGATTGAAGGCAAACAGAGATGGAGGTAGCAGAGGATGAGACGGTTAGATAGAATCACCGATGCAATAAAGATGAATCTGAGTAAACTTCAGGAGCTAGTGAAGCTCAAGAGAGCCTGGAATGCTGCAGTCCACAGGGTCACAAATAGTCTGACAGGACTTGGTGACTGAACAACTACAAATGAGGCTTTATCATCAAAACAAACACTCAGTTTAAAAAACGAGCAGATCTAAATAGACATTACACCAAAAAGCTTTTTAAGTCATGTTATGTTTTAATATATTAAGAACAAAATACCTGTGCTGATTTTTATTTTAACCTAACAGAACCAAAAGAGAATATTCAACCAGGAAAGGTCGGTCACACTGATCATAATAAAGTCTTAAGGCTGAAAATGTCTTTTTTCCCCTTTGTACTTAGCACTGGCTACACAGTATCCTCAGGGTATTCATTATATGAAAAAATATTAATCACAGCTTAGAGTCCTTGTTTCAGAGAAACCAATGATAAATCAAATTAGAAGTTGAAGCTGCATCTTTGTTTTTAAAGATGTATTCTTATTTTTTCATATAGAAGTTTAAATCAGTATAAATCATATATTATAAATATATATAAACCATTACATTTGAGGTAAAGTTCAGCACTTGATTTATACAAAGTCTATGAAAAGAAGCTAGTAGAAATCATCTAATACTAAATGTTACATCATTCATTCCAGCCCATGCACAATCTCACTTGCAGCACTGTATAAATGCAAACAAAACAAAACAAAGAAACTACCCACCCTACCCCCACCCCAAAAAAAAACGCACAAAAGACAAAAACAAAGAAAATCCAGAAAGGAGATAACAAACCTAAATGTCCACTGATATGGAAATGGGTAAATAAACTGTGTTGTAAAAACAGAACTAGCACATGATCCAGCAATTCCACTTCTGGGTATTTATCTGAATAAAATGAAAATACAAAAGAGGATGGTGCTCCCATATTGTTTGCAGAAAAAGTAAGAGTGGTTCATGGTTCCCATCATGCCACATACATTGGCCAGTTTCTTCACTGTCTCACTTCGTTTTACCTGATGTCACTTCCCCCATTTAAAAATCTCCTGTCTACTTTACTCCATATGACCTCTTGCCTAAGATTCCTTTCCAGTTCAGCCAAATTTAACATTCTATAGGAGCTATCCCCATTGCTTCCCATTCATAGTGATCCCACATAATGACATCTCACTTGGTTTACTACAGAGTTTATACCATACATTTCATCATACACTGTCTTGTACTGTGTCTGTCATATGATAAGCACTTTATGAATGTTTGTTGCATAAATGAACCCATGAACTAGTCAATTATCCTCTAACTATATCATGAAAAGTCAGATAGCATCAGTAGAGAATAAGTATATGAGTCAAGTAATCATGTGTCCAAGGCCTTGTTTGGCCATTACCTATGCTGAATAACTTAGGCTAACTGCTTTACTATTTTCAGCCTGTTTCCTCAGTGGTAAAATGGAAGCATCAAAAGATTCCTAACTTGTGTGCCTTTTGTGAAGATTAAATGAAAATGAATCCACATGTAAGACCTAGCAGCTAGTTAATGTTAAGTGCCTGTTGAGTTACTCAGTCATGTTCAACTCTTTACAACAGCCAAAATATGGAAACAATCTAACACCCATCAATGGATGAATGAATTTTTTTATTTTTATTTATTTGTTTGTTTGTTTTTTTTTTTTTTTATCACAACCATAGTGTATCTTTTTTTTTTTTTTTTACATGTATTCCCCATCCCGGTCCCCCCTCCCACCTCCCTCTCCACCCAATCCCTCTGGGTCTTCCCAGTGCACCAGGCCCGAGCACTTGTCTCATGCACCCAACCTGGGCTGGTGAATGAATTTTTTTAAATGTGAGATACACACACACACACACACACACACATATATGTCTTTAAGGAAATCTTATCTGCAGTGTTATATGTCCATTATACCCCTATGAAAATTGTGGGGGAGTGACAGAACTTTTGTTGTTATTCAGTGGCCAGGTCATGTCTGACTCTTCATGATCCCATGGACTGCAGTGAGCCAGTAACAGAACTATTAGAGTGAATAAACCAAAGCCACATATTTCAACCCAGATAGATCTCAAATACAAAATACTGATAAAAACATTGATTGTAGAAGAGTTACTTTAAAAATAGACAATAGAGGATGAAATGGTTGGATGGCATCACCGACTCAATAGACTTAAGTCTGAGCAAGCTCCAGGAAACTGAAGGACAAGGAAGCCTGGCCTGCTGCCTTACATGGGGTTGCAAAGAGTTGGACATGACTGAGAGACTGAACAACAAAGAAATACTTGTCAGTTCCTCTTGGTGATACTGTGGAAATCTGCTGCTGACTTTGAAAAGTGATAAAGGGGAAAAAAATTAAAAAATAAAAATAAAAACAGCAGTCATATAAATATTAGAAGCATTGCATGGGAATTCCCTGGTGGACCAGTGGTTAAGAATCTGCCTTCCAAGGCCAGGAATGCTCAGGGAACTGAGAGCCCAGATGCCATGGGACAAGTAAGGCTGTGCACTGCAACTAGAGAAGGCACCTGTGCTGCAATGAAGTAGCCTGTGCCAGGCAACAGAGACCTAGCACAACTGAAAAGAAAAACAAATTTTAAAGAAACAATGTATGGATGCATAACAACTATAGTGAAACAGGAAGCTATGGACTGGAAGGATAAAAACTAGGTTGTGATTAAAATCTTCCAATGGCACCCCACTCCAGTACTCTTGCCTGGAAAATCCCATGGATGGAGGAGCCTGGTGGGCTGCAGTCCATGGGGTCGATAAGAGTCGGACAGGACTGAGCGACTTCACTTTCATTTTTCAGTTTCATGCATTGGAGAAGGAAATGGCAACCCACTCCAGTGTTCTTGCCTGGAGAATCCCAGGGACGGGGGAGCCTGGTGGACTGCCGTCTATGGGGTCGCACAGAGTCGGACACGACTGAAGTGACTTAGCAGCAGCATAGACTTTGGAAGATAGAAAAGTGACCTGAATGCTCTTTTATTTTTAGAGAAATATTTTAATCATATGTCGAAAATCTGAGGGTGTGCTATACACCTCTGGAACTATGATTCATATTTTGTGTATCACACAAATGCTAAGACACAGGTAGGCACACGGGATAGCACGGAAGTTTGGAATCTCAGTTTCTACACCATCTTGAGGCTTCAGAAGAGCAATCTCTCTAAGCAAACCAAAAAAGACAAGGACTAAGACATCTCCCTCCCACGCTCATTAAACATCTATTAAGGACTAGCCTCACTGTTAGAGCTGTGATGTAGGGCGTCTTAACCTTCAAAAAAGTTACAAAGACAGAGCCTCCTTTACATGTGCTGCATGTAAAGTGGATTCACTTATTCACCACATAATTCATAATTCAACCTCTGTAAGCAACTACAAGATGGAACGAAGGTATCTGCAAAAACGTGTCAGAATTAAGCAATGAATTAAGCAGTTCATCTAAAGCAGGGGACGCAATACCTGGCATGTAGCATGCGCCCAAGAAATATCACGCGCTGTTGTTTTCCTGATTATCAGGCGCGGTCCCAATGCTTTGGTGAGACGGAGACTGAAAAACAGAGCTCAAAAGTCCGCGGCGCTCTCTGAGATGCAGTGAAATCATAAACCCAAGAGCCCAGACGCTCTCACAAAGAGACGGGCTCTCTAAACGCTTTCAGCCGGGCCTTTTCCAACACCGTTGCTGTTCTCCTAGGAACCTGGCTACAGGCACCTGGTGGGCGGTAGGAGGGCTAGGTGGACACACAGGGAAGTAGGGGACCGGCTGGGGCGAGCTGAGGGGAAGGCAGAAGGCGGGGCCTGAGAAAGAACCGGGAGCTTCAAGCAGATCAGGCTGTTCCACAACCTAGAGGGGCAGAGGGGCGGCGAGGCGCCGGCGAGGCGGAGTGGAGTTGCAGAAGGACCGACCCGGCGGGGCGGGGCGCGGGGGGGCAGACGGGGAAAGAGGGCGGTGCTAGTAGCGTGGAGACCGAGTACCGGGAGGACCTGGGCCGACTCGGACCGCGGAAGGGGGACCAGCGCAGCCATGTTGAAGGCGTTGGGCTCCCTGGCGGCTGCCCTCTGGGCCGCGCTCCGTCCCGGCATTGTCCTGCTGGGGGCCGTCGTCTTTCTCCTCTTGGCTGATTTCCTCAAAACGCGGCGTCCAAAGAACTACCCGCCGGGGCCCCCGCGCCTGCCTTTCGTAGGCAACTTCTTTCAGTTGGACTTTGAGAAGGGGCACCTGTCGCTTCAGCGGGTAGGAGCGGGCGAAGGTGCCCGGGCGCGGCCTGACCCTGACCTGCGGAACAGGGGCCATTCCGGGTACCGAGGGCGGGAGGATGGGGGTTCTGAGGCTGAACCGGGCACCCGACTACACTTTGCTTTGAACCTCTCTCTTTTCCCCAGTGACTGGCATGATTACACCACCCGTGGTTTCTAGGGGTGAAATATTGTTAACTGTCCACTATTTAGTGTGTTAGACACGATGCGTTCTCTAAGTCATTTAACTGAGGGCCTTGTTGCATACTATTGGGACTTTCTATTTATAATATGATCAGTGTATCTTTTTAATATCATTATCCTTGGGGGAAAAAATCCCGTATTTTGCCACTTGGTAAAATGGTGATAAATACTATCTAAATCCTCAGCGTTTTTCGACTGAATTGCTCCTAACTACACAAGGACTGAGCCCCTCACATTTAGCCTCCTCACCCAGCAGTCCACACTCACTAATCATTTTTAAATGTCATTCCTTTGCTTAGATTTTGTTAGTGATCCGTGCTGCTTCCCAGAGTTCTTGAGGAGATCATGGCAATCCACTCTAGGACTCTTGCCTGGAGAATCCTATGGACAGAGGAGCCTGGCAGGCTACAGGCCGTGGGGTCGCACAGAGTCGGACAGGACTGAAACAACTTGGCACGCAGGATGCTGGGAGCTACTTGTAACTTCTTTCCATTTCTTTTTAGTCATCTCCCATTAGTTCAGTTCAGTTGCTCAGTCGTGTCCGACTCTGCAATCCTATGAACCGCAGCACCCCAGGCCTCCCTGTCCATCACCAACTCCCAGAGTTTATTCGAACTCATGTCCATTGAGTCAGGGACACCATTCAACCATCTCATCCTCTCTCATCCCCTTCTCTTCCCACCTTCAGTCTTTCCCAGCATCAGGGTCTTTTCAAATGAGTCAGCTCTTTGCATCAGGGGGTCAAAGTACTGGAGTTTCAGCTTCAGCATCAGTCCTTCCAATGAACACTCAGGACTGATCTCCTTAGGATGGACTAGCTGGATCTCCTTGCAGTCTAAGGGACTCTCAAGAGTCTTCTCCAACACCACAGTTCAAAAGCATCAGTGAGCTCTGTAAGTAGCTGTAAAATGTGACCTCATCATTCTGAGGTAGGAGATAGATGTGCGCCTGAGATGGGCACCTGGTGTTTGTTGAGTGGAGTAAAACCAAGCCTTTTTTCTCACCCAGGCACTTCAAAGACAAAGCTAGTGGCAAAAGTTGAGTTCTGCTAAAGTAAAGAGATAAGGTGCCCACTCCTGAGATCCAGGAAGACTTCCCTGTCTGCACATGTGCAGGAAGGCTTCTTGGGGGTCAAAAAGGGAGGGGGCCCCACCCTATAATAAGTGTGGACATGTACCCACAGGTCTCTACATTGAAATCCATGTTAGAAAGCAGTTGTGCAGGCATCTTGGGGAGGGTCCTAGGACTAGTGAGATGTGAAGAAAAAAACAAGATAATTGGCAATATGTGAACAAGACCCAGAAGCACTGTCCAATGTAAGTGATTTAAATCAACTTTTTAGTGCCTTCCTCATTGAGGACACCACACTCCTCTTTGGTTATGTTCCTCCCCATTCAGGACTCCTGCACTCCTCAGTGGGTGTGTATTTCTGCCTTGCTTGTGTCTTCCCTAATTGTGGCCATTCTGAATTCCTTAATATTTCCTCCAACATCCAGCACTTTCTCAACCACCTCAGCTGCTTCCCTGCGTCTCATCATAGGTATCTTGCTGACAGACAGCACTGTGATAGATGGTTGTGAACGTTAAATAAAACAGTGAATGGTCCATACTAATACAGCTTATTGTAGGTTCCAAACAAATAACAGTTCCCCTTGAATGCCTGAAGCACTTTAAACACAAGTCTGTAATATAAACTCAAGTTAAGATGGAGAAGATTTTTATCATTTTTCTGGGAGAAACACACAATTGGTACCATTTAAGTGATTGGATTCATCTCCAGAATTTTAAAGCTAGTCTCCTAAACCTGTCAGTTCAATTCAGTCTCTCAGTCATGTCCGACTCTTTGCGACCCCATGGACTGTAGCACGCCAGGCTTCCCTGTCCATCACCAAACTCCCGGAGCTTGCTCAAACTCATGTCCATTGAGTGGGTGATGTCCTCCACCCATCTCATCCTCTGTCACCCCCTCTCCTCCTGCCTTCAATCTTTCCCAGCATCAGGGTCTTTTCTAAGGAATCTAAACCTATACCTTTGTTTAATAAATATGCTGTTTAACTTCCAAGTATTGGGAGATTTTCTTGTTTTCTTTCTGTTAATGATTTACAGTTGGAGTCCATTATGGTCAGAGAACATGCATGATTTCAACTTTGAAAAAACTATATTAAAGTTGACCCAAGATACAGTCCATACCTACTTGAAAAAAGTGTATTCTGCTCTTGTTGAGTTGAATGTTCCATACTATATGTCAGTTAGACCTTATTAGATGAATCAGTTGTTTAGTGCTCCTGAACCCTTGTTGACTTCTTACCTACTAATTCTATCAATTACTAGGAGAGGCTTGTTGAAGTCTGCAACTTATAATTACAGGTTTCTCTGTGTATCTATTCAGTTCTGGTAGTTTTCATGTATCAGAGAAGGCAATGGCACCCCACTCCAGTACTCTTGCCTAGAAAATCCCATGGATGGAGGAGCCTGGTAGGCTGCAGTCCATGGGGTCGCTAAGAGTCGGACACGACTGAGCGACTTCACTTTCATTTTTCAGTTCCATGCACTGGAGAAGGAAATGGCAACCCACTCCAGTATTCTTGCCTGGAGAATCCCAGGGACGGGGGAGCCTGGTGGGCTGCCGTCTGTGGGGTTGCACAGAGTTGGACACAACTGAAGTGACTTAGCAGCAGTTTTTATGTATGTGTTTCACAGCTTTTTTATTTGGCACCTACGCACTAAAATTGTCATGTCATCTTTGTGAATTTGTTCTCTTGTTATTAGTTAATGTCCCTCTTTTTCTCTGGTAATTTTCTTTGCCTGAATTTTACTTTATCTGATATACTATAGCCACACCAGCTCTCAGCTCTCTTTTGATTAGTATTTACATAGTATATGCTTCTCCATTTATTTACTTTTAACCTATTTATATCATTATATTTGAAATGAGTTTCTTGTTAATAACATACAGGTGGGTAAATTTTTGTTCATTCTTCTAATATCAAACATTTAATTGGTGAGTTTAGATCATTTATATTTAATGTAATTATTGATTTGTTAAAACTTAAGTCTGCCAATTTATTATTTGTTTCCTATTTTTCACTTTGTTTTTTTACTCGTCTTGTTTTTTACTCTTTGTTTTTTCTCCTTTCCTCTCTTTGTAGGTCACTTGAATATTTTTTTAGAATCCATTTTCATTTGTGTTTTTGAGTATTTCTCTTTGTATTGTTTTTAAGTGCTTGCTGTAAAGATTACATGCTATGCATACATAACTTATTGCAGTAAGTGTCAAAGGTGGAATACACATACCTTAAAACTCTTTAGGTCCCTTTACCTTCCCCCACTTTATAATATATAAATTTTCTTAAACATTATCTCTATATACACTAAGAACCACTTCAGATAGTATTATAATTTTTCTTTTAACTGTCAAACACAACGTGTTAAATTCAAGATTAGTCTACTGTATTTACCCATTTCTTTACCCTTTCTGTTGCTCTTTCCTAACTGAAGAACTTTCTTTAACCATTCTTTTAGAACTTATCTGCTGAAAAAAAAAAATTAGCTTTCCTTCATCTAAGAATGTTTTTATTTCACCTTCATTTCTGAAGCATATTATCACTGGACATAGAATTCTAGGTTGACAGTTTCTTTTTAAGCCCCTGAAAATGTAGTGCTACTTCTTTCTGGCTTAGGAACTAGGGTTCCTCATGAGCAATCTGCTATAATTTGGACTGTTGTTCCCCATAAGTAATGAATTGTTTTCCTCTACATGCTTTGAAAGCTAGGTTTTCTTGGTTTTTAGATTTCAGAAATTTGATTATATGCCTTAGTGTTGAATTCTTTGGATTTATTGGGTTCACTCACAACTTCTTGCCTCAGTAGATTTTGCTAGTACCAAATTTGAGAATTTTTCAGCCTTTATTTCTTCAAATATTTTTTCAAGTCCATGTTTTTTCCTTTTGGTACTCTTTGGCACTGATGACACAAGTGATAGATCTTCTCCTATTCTAATATCAGTCCCTGAGGCTCAGCTTTTTATCTCTTCTCAATCTGTTTTCTCTGTGTTGTTCAGATTGGACACTTTCTGTTAATGTCTTCAGTTTCACTGATTATCCTGTCATTACCACTCTGCCATTGAATTGCTCTAATGAGTTTTTGTTTAGTTGTTGTTTTTCAATTTTAAAATTTCTTTTTTGTTCATATGTGTATTTTCTGGTTCTTGGTTAAGATTTTCTATTTAAAATTTTTTCAAGAGTGTAATTGTTTATTGAAACATATTTTCAGTAGCTGGTTTAAAATCTTTAACCTGTAATTACAGCATCTTTATCATCTCAGTATTGGTTTCAACTCATTCAATTTGAGATTTCTCTGATTCTTGATAACATGAGTAATTTTGGTCTATACTCTGGACATTTTGTGTATTTTGCTACATGACTGGACTCTATGTAAACCTTTTGTTTTTGCAGATAGTCAAAACCTGCTTATGTTTAGAATGTTCACTTTTGTGAATTGCGGTTCAAATGTCAATTTAGGTTATAAAGCCTTTGCAGTGTTATACTGATCTACCCCACTTATATATTATTCACCTCAATAGGACTTCAACCCACATTCTCATCAGTGCAGACTGGAGAGAATGAGGATGGGGACAAAAGACTGGGGCCCCTCTGAGTAGGGTAGCCTCTTCCTTACTGCAGGGGTTGGGGAGAACTCAGTAATCTAATCATATCATCTCCATGGAATATGGGTACCTCCTTATTTTTGTATAGTTGTAGAAATCAGGATTTTGCCCACTGACTCCTTCAAGGA